ACTTACATATATACAGGGTTATCCAAATTAAGTGTCCACCATTGGTAACTTTGTTATTAGTAAAAATACAAAGTTGTTTAAATTAGCAAACTAGTAGCATTTTTAACGCTGGTAAAAATGAGAAATAAAAAAAACAATTGAGAGTCGTTATTTTGATTTTTTTCAGTAAAATAACATTTTTTTAAATGGAAACCCCTGTATATTATATTTTTTTCTGTTAAAGCATCAAATTTTAAACAAAAAAGTTCATAATGACTTTTCCGCTAAAGTCAAAAATAAAGTCAAAATAACGATAAATATTTTTAATTATGTGCAGTATTATAATATTAAGACGGCTATGAAAACAACATGGCGTTCGCGATTTGACAGCATTAAGATAAGCGACAAATTGTTAAACTGGACATACTCGCAACTAGAAGGCTTTGGAAAACAATGATAAAATCAAATAATGTCAAACATTAGTGTAAATACTTGTTTATAAGCTTTATTGTGTCATTAATTTAAAGAAAAATGTTCTCCCATGAAGAAAAGTGTGATATGTTAGAATGCTATTTAGTGTGCAGAAAATCCTCCTTGAGAGCAAGAGAATACTACAGTGAATTATATCCCGCTCGCATTCAACCGTATGAACGATATTTTCTGAGACTTTATCGAAAATTTAGGGGCAACGAAAATGTTTTAGCTAAAACAAGGGCAAAAAAAGAATTCATAATAAGCGAGGCCACGGAAATTGCAGTTATTGGATATTTTGAAGCTTATCGTGAGAATTCAATAGCAGATATTCTCAAGGACTCTAATTTCAGTTATGGTACTGTTCAAAGGATTTTAAAAAAATACAAATTTATTCCGTATAAGTACCGACCAGTTCAAACGCTTTTGGCAGGGGATCCAGAGAGAAGACTTGTTTTTTGCCATTGGTATCTTAGCTTCTGTCGCCAAAATGTAAATAACTTTCGTTACCTTTTATGGACAGATGAATCAAATTTTTCAAATTCTGGAATGTTTAATAGAAAAAACCACCATTATTGGTCAAGAGAAAATCTTTTGTTAGTACATCCAAGAGGCCCACAAGTCCGTTTCAGTTTCAACGTTTGGTGCGGTATAATTGGTTCAAAAATTGTTGGCTCGTTCTTTTATGAGGGAACCCTAACTGGTGAAAGATATGTGGAATTTATGTCAGAAATTCTGACTAATTTCTTAGACGAATTGGATCTTATAAGTAGACATCATCTGCATTTTCAGCAAGATGGCGCACCTGCCCACAACTCCAGAGGTACTTATCATTTTCTAAGTACTACTTTTAATGATCAGTGGATAGGAACAAATGGCCCAATACAGTGGCCTCCCAGATCACCAGATCTAAACCCACTTGATTACTTCTTGTGGGGTTACTTAAAGAACCAAATTTACAAGCGAAGGTACGATAACCTTGACGCGTTAAAGACTGCAGTTAGGGAAAAGATAACCCAGATAGATGGTAGGACCATACTTAAGACAGTTCGAGCAGTTGAAAAACGTGCCCAAAAATGTATTGAAGAACAAGGTGGTGTTTTCGAGCATCTTCTTTAAAAAAAATTGTTATTGTATTTTGTAAGATTATAAGTTGATGTTGAAAATAAAGTTTGTCGATACAATTTAATTGTTTCAGATTGGATGCCATAACTTCAACAATTTGTAACCTAGGAGAAAAGTTATTGTAAGCTTTTTTGTTTAAAATTTGATGCTTTAACAGAAAAAAATATAATATACAGGGGTTTCCATTTAAAAAAATGTTATTTTACTGAAAAGAATCAAAATAACGACTCTCAATTGTTTTTTTTTATTTCTCATTTTTACCAGCGTTAAAAATGCTACTAGTTTGCTAATTCAAACAACTTTGTATTTTCACTAATAACAAAGTTACTAATGGTGGACACTTAATTTGGATAACACTGTATATATATATATATATATATATATATATATAGATTTGCAAAATTTTAGGTCTACAGGTACTTTATATACCCTGGATGTCTCCTAGCTATATAATTTTATCACGATTATTGTTTGCTTTCTTGGCTGATGAAACGGGCGGGTTTTTAAAAAAGCGACCAGGATGTATCAAGAAGATTCCTTTTTGCTATTAAATTTTATTAAATCAAGATTCGAACGACAAGGCACATCCTAAGGAAAAGTTATTATTAAAAAGAAGAAATAAAAAATAGTATTTGATAGCAATAATCTTTTTCTGTGCACTACTTATAGTTACTACAGAGTGAAATGTTTATTTCCGTCCAGACTGAGTACGCACCGAGCATGTGCCTCATTTTGATATACCGCAAAGAAGCGGATCAGGTCGAGCCCGAATCCATACGAATTCATACGCCCCGTTCAGACGTACACATAGGTGTGCTCATGCGTCCTCGGGTTGCCTCATTCGCGTTCGTGCTCTTATGCGTCCTCCCAACATACCTACCTAAAAGCTGTTTGTTGTAAAAAAAACGTAAACCCATCAAAAGCTGCATCACGGGCGGTATTGGCAACCCCCGATTATTTAGTCTTCTCAAAGAAGCCACCATAGCATAGAGAACGTGAACCACGCAATCCGTTGTGAATCGAAAGCGTTTTTGAAATTCTTGATCCCTATAATGCTCCAGCGGATTCGACCTATCACGATTATACCTCCTTGGTAAATGAAGTAGAGGAGTTGAGGACCTCTGGGGTGCTCACCCGATTAAAATAAATCACGTTCTGCCATTTTCACTTATATTTATCACTGCAATAAGCATACGATATAAAAAGCCGACTACAAATTTCAATTTTGAACTGATGTTAAAATCGGTTGACTCAAGAGCGAATGTGGAGGGGGCACGGGACGAAACAAAGAAACCAGCATAGCCTCAAAGAGATGCTAGATCAGGTGCTACCCTATTTGATCGAGATGAGCGGTTATTGATAAAAAGCCAGTTGTGGATTAATCGGATATTTTCCTAAAACTTGCATTGACAAATTTAGACGTTGGTACAGAGGGGTAGGTGGTAAGTATTGGAGATTGAAATATGAATACGGGGGTATATCCAGGATGCCTATATGCATTACAGTTAGAAAAGAAATTGAACTTTCTGATCTAATAACCGCACATTATAAAAGAACGTGTTGAACAGGCCGATCTAAGAAACCGGTTATCCAAATGACAAGTTATCTTTGCCCATCCCTACTACCTGCTATTTTGATTCATGAATAGATATAGGAGGTTAAACTTTGTGGATTAAACTGCGTAAGGGATATACGTTTTCGTATGAAGCCAATCCTTTCTTTCCCGTCAGATAACCATTTGATTCGTAACGTTCAATTCGACTCTCGGTCGAAGCATAAGTACCGAGCTTTAGGCAGTCAGGCTCGCGGAACATGTACCCAAAGGATTCACCCTCAACTGAGTACCTGCATCTTGCTTTTGGATGTCTCAAAAACCTTTGACAACTTGTGGCATGCGGGTCTCCTCTATAAACAAATACAAAATTGTTTCTCTTTTTCGCTTCTAACAACTACTAACATCCTGCGTCGAAGGAAGTTTCAGATCAAATTTAACGCTTTCTCAAGGTTCGGTCCTACAACCAATCCCTCACTCGCTTTTTACTCAACAACTGTGCTGTGAAGTCTACCTCTATGCTGACGACACTGCGCCAGTCAAGTACTGGTAATCTGGTTCACGTTAGATTACAGGATGCAAAGGAGGAAGTACTAGAGTGGGCGGAACGATGGCTGATTTGATTAAAAGTAATCATTCGAAAATATAGGTATTGTAGCAGAAAACGTCGCGGTCCCCACTCGAGGTTTCGGCAGACGGTAGTCGTATACAATGAAAAAATTCTGTCATGAACCTCAGGGTCACCCTTGATAATGGCTTGACCTGGCAAAAACATACAGCAACATTGAAAACAAAATTCCAAATTGCTTTCCACAGCTATATCCCTTGATATGTAGCAAAGCAGTTTGGATAAAAGTTATTATTCTTTTTTTAGTGTTTCTTTTTTCATACAATGTTTTTATTCTTCCAAGGCACAGTTTACATGAATTATCCGCTTTGAAAATTAGAAACTAATTGAGAAAAAATGTATTTTTTGGCGTATAATATAGTTTACAACACGATCTAATATAAATAGGAAACGTTCTTTGAGTTGTTCGAGTTCCAGCAGCCTCTGAAAACGTATTTATATCTGAATAAGTTTTAACCAACTTTGGTGCATAGTGTCCTCTTATTTTTTAAGAGTTAGTTTTTGTTAAAAATGCAACTGAACGTACCTACCTAGACTGTCCATTAGCTTATTTCATATGAAAATAGATTTTGCTCTTTAAAGAATCTGCCCCTTTATCCAAAGGTTGACAGCCTACACTATTTAAATTCTATAAGTAAGAAAAGTACTATCACAGGGATCGTCAAGCGCCACTTTAATATGTTGTAAAACACTGTCAAGAAAGTAAAATGCTGGGACCTTATTGGAATCTATCAGACATCCTCTGCTTGTAAGCAGCCAACTATATCTCTCAGTATTATCTTACTTTTATTTGCCAAAATAAACAGGAAAAGGTTTTGTTTTTCCTCTGAAAAGGTATATTGCAACAGATTATCTAATCACAGTTCCTGTTTTTTCACATATACCAAATTCTGCTTTTTACATCAGTGCTGCTACTGGAAATTAAACTTCTTATCAATGTAAAGCTAGGCCTAGTTTTTCTATTGATAACTCACCAGATTGGTTTTATTGTTTTTAACTATATGGTTATATGGTTATATTTTTGTCTATTATTAATGCATAGCAGGGTTGAACTTCAAATCAAACTGAATTAATATACACAGAATATTCAAATTTTTGAAATTGACAGTTTGAACTTGATTGCAAATTTTTGAATGATGGTAACCAGGTTAGATTATTTCCAAAAAATAAGATTTTTCATTATCTCCATTAACCATACAAAGTTCTTTAGAAAATGTTAAAAATTGAAGTTCTCTGCAATTCGATTCAAGGCTTTGTTTTTGCCCTGAGGCTGACTGCATCATTTTTCTTATTTTCAACCACATTGCTGTATTGTTTATCATGGTCAGCAGCTGAACCTTTGGTTTTTGACGAATATTTTTCTTTTGTCGTCTGCATTGTCAACAGCAACTAAAAACCACAATTTATACACAATATATACCCAGAACATTCAAATAATTGAAATTTACAGTTTTGATACGATACATTTTCATTACAGCTTCCCATTTAAAAAAAAACTTTTCTGCTTATATCAGTATATATATATATATATATGCCCACAAGGCTAATATTGTAAAACAAGGCGAGCACCTCAAATATCAGTCCTATTCAGTGTTTGACATTCCTAAGCAGGGAATTGATTCCGACAGCTTTCTTGTAACTAGTTGTGGAATTTTGTGCCATGATGGTATAAAGTAATGAAGAATTTAACTTCATGCTGCAACTCCAATTTCCCATTTACACCTTGTAATGTCTCATAATTGGTGCTCCTACATGTAGCCCATGCTCTTTTTAGTATCCTGAAATCATGATTGTCAATTTACCATGGACTCAATTTCAGAACCTTTACACATTATACATACTTGCGTAGCACAACTTGTCTTCAAGTTCGTAAGTGTTAATTCTTATCATTATGACTATGATCATACAGGTTTATGCCAGGTTTTAAATAACGAATTGCAGTGTAACACATATCGGTCACATAAATCAAATTCACGTTTTGTTTCTATAAGATTCCTTCAATTATGCCTGGATGCATACATTCCTTCTTAGAAAGATCATTCACCTCCTTATCCTTCCAAAGTAAACATAGCATTTAACTGAGGAACCAACTTCTCATAAGGTCTGTGATAATGAATGACACCTGAAAATAATGCGATAAGTATATAATATGGATATGCAATGATTTGTTTTGTAACTTACCAACCTCCATCAAGGGAATAGCTTGGTTGTAAGCTTCTGGACTTTCATACACACAAATATAATATTATAATATAATATATCCATGTGCATTAATTTTCCTAACTCAAAAATTTCTTGAAGATACCACAGGTTGTGGAATTTTTTGAGTGATCGATATTATTTGCAAGAAAATTATAAATTATTGTTCTGCTGTCATGTGTCTTGAACGTCAAAACATCCTCAAGCCAGAACTGTCAGTATGTCGGAAATCAAAAGGAGGACATACATGTACGTTAACGAACAAGACGTAATATTATCGAAATCAAGAAGGTCATAAACGAGCCCTACAATTGTAGGGACGACCGACGAGACGGGCCTAAGGTCTCGCGGACCGCTCTGACAACCAACGATGACTTGACTTGTTCCCAACGGAAGCACATATACAACTGCTGTTTAGTAACTCTTAAAGGCTGTACATCTGCAACAATATCACAACTTTTATACAACTGTACCATAACCTAACGTTCTGCTGTCATCTTTTTAGGTTAAATGTCAGACAATATTTTAAGACAGGCAATGCATGAATATTTTTTAAAGGTTTTATTAACTTTCCAAACAGAAGATATAGATCTGACACAAACTTTCAGTGAAGCATTTGACTCTGTGCATATTTTATTTCAGAGGTTTGCTGTATAACACCTGCTGATAACACCAAAATGTTCTAATAAACCAAAGACAACATCGAGGATGCCACGATTACAATTAACCTCCCGTCATATTAGGCAATAAATAGATCCCTCTATTGAAAATCATTTAATTCTGTTTCAGCGCGATATTATATATTTTTATTATATATATATATATATACGAGTATATAGGTGAAAAATTAAAGCTTCCGCCTTTTGTTGGGTACTTCGACAAAATTTAAGCAAAGAGGACTCTTTATACTTTTTTTAATTCTCTCTAGCTTTCAATGGACTTTGCCATCATCATCAGGAGCTGCAATTACAATGATAACAGTAGCAACAAAGGTGTAAAATGAATTTAAATTGACTCAACTTACAGTAGTATGTGAGGATGTTGCTAATTGTTGTTTACGTATAGGATGAGGGAAACGTCCAGTAACATGGTGAGAGCTGGATAGATTGTACAATAGTCAAACTTATATAAAATATGACAAGAACAAGTTAAAAACAGATTAAAAATTATTTAAAAAATTAGAGCATTACATCGTGAAGCCACTTGATGATTGCACAAATTAGTGGTCATGGAATGATGAGTGACATGAAACCCTTTGACAGAAGGCCGAAGGATGTCAATGTCAGTATTGAAAGATGGAACGAATTGTGGGCGTGTGCCAAACGTTGCCAAATCACTTCAGATGATGAGATTTTCAGAATTTTATGTTAGAATTTGTTAAACCGACCAGAGGCAGTTGAATAAACTATATTATTCTCTCAAAATATAATAATTCTCTCCTCACGATTTATTAATAATTGTTAATTTAAATTCCCATTAATAATAATATAGTTTATTCAACTGCCTCTGGTCGGTTTAACAAATTCTAACATAAAATTCTGAAAATCTCATCATCTGAAGTGATTTGGCAACGTTTGGCACACGCCCACAATTCGTTCCATCTTTCAATACTGACATTGACATCCTTCGGCCTTCTGTCAAAGGGTTTCATGTCACTCATCATTCCATGACCACTAATTTGTGCAATCATCAAGTGGCTTCACGATGTAATGCTCTAATTTTTTAAATAATTTTTAATCTGTTTTTAACTTGTTCTTGTCATATTTTATATAAGTTTGACTATTGTACAATCTATCCAGCTCTCACCATGTTACTGGACGTTTCCCTCATCCTATACGTAAACAACAATTGAAGGGTATGCCGGAACAACGTTCTAACCGACAGTTTGGTCAAAAGTGGGATTTCTATAAAACAAGGATCTATGTATCCATTCGCATAACCTCCCCCTCTTTCAAGCTGAGAATCACAAATTTAATCGGTGTCCAGACGTCTAAATGATTCAGTGAATCTTGATATCCACGTAACAACGTTGTATGTGCACGCGCCGACAGGTCTCAGCAAGTTTGTTTTCGAAACTACCACAGCCCACGTGGTTTCTGCAAGATGAAAGTTAGTTTATCAGAGTCTATTATTAGTCATATGAACAGAGGTAAAAAACGAAAGCTAAAAATTGACACCTGGAAGCAGACTGTAAGAAAACATCAGAGGGATGCAGGAGAAGCATACATTTCATCGAGAAACGTACCTAAGGCTGCGTTAAGCCAGCCAGAAGAGGTAAGATTTATTAACACTTAAAAGTGTCCACAGGCGATGCACATTATTATCCAATTTTTCATAGTGTACAAAAAATGTTGACCGTTTTTTATGTAAGGTGTTTAATACACAATATGCAGCGTGGTCCCGAAATTTCACTTATGGCTTGGGCCTGTGACCATCCTGACAGTATGGGATATCGTGCAATGTGTGCATTTTTTTTTTTAGGAACGTGTCTGCAAATGTCCTCAAACCCCCAGAGGATGTAACGCCGATTTGCTCGTTGGAAGACAAGTGAGTCTGTTCCAGAAATTTAGGAAGCTTCATTATGATGGTCAGTCGCAATATATGTCGCAAATCATATCCCTCCAAGAACCAAAACGTAGGAGAGTTGAGGAAAATATATCTCGTAGACATTGCACTGTAAAGTACAGTATTAATGGCACTCAAGTATGTAGAGGAACAGTTTGTTATATATTCTCAATTACGCCTAGAAAATTACAGTGGCTTATTGGTAAACTTAAAGCGAACATGAATAACCTTCAAGATCAACGTGGAAAGCATCTCAATCGTCCTAAAAAGTTGAAAAACATGGACGTACGTCTCATTTCCGATCACATCCGATCGTTTCCCCTACAGGAAAATCATTACAGCAGAAATACTTCAGCCAAACAATGCCTTCCAGCTGATCTAAATATCTCAAAAATGTTCAGACTTTTTAAGGAGAAATACCCCGATGCAAATAATATTTCCTTTAGGGTTTATCACGACATTTTCAAGAGCAAGTTCAATCTGCGATTTGGTCTACCAAGATCTGACACATGTTCGTATTGTGACAACCTGTTTATGAAACTTTGTTCAACTGATGACGCTAATGAAAAGAAAAAAATAGAAATCGAGAGTGAGATCCACCAGAGAAAAGCTGAAGCGGGTTATAAAACATCTAAACTCAATCCAAATTATGTTGTGTTGTGCACAGATCTGCAACAAGTGCTTTTTTGTCCCAATTTAACACATTCATCTGTATTCTATCAAAGGCAATTCTCAACATATAACTATGCTGTTCATAATATGGGGGAGGAAAACGCAACAATGTTACTATGGCATGAAGCAATGGCACATCGGGGATCTACAGAGATTGCTTCAGCACTACTATTCTATATTACTAACAAGTATAGTCGTCTCAAAGCAGGTGAAGAAAGAAAACTAGTTGTATGGTCAGACAGGTGTGTGGGCCAGAACAATAACTGGAAAATGCTGACAATGCTGCGACTTCTAGTTTTAGAAAAGTTCTTTACGCAAGTCGAACAAAAATTTCTTACGAGCGGGCATAACTTTTTGCCGTGTGATAGAGACTTTTCTCTCATAGAACGACAAAAAAAAATCTCTAAAGTATTTGTTCCCTCACAGTGGGCTGATGTTGTCGCTAAGTCGAAGGTATCCAATCCATTTAAAGTGATCTTCATGCATCAATCTTTTTTTAAGGATTTTCAGGCAGCGGAAAATGTTATATATAAAGATCCATCATGTAAAATCACCCAAGTAATGTGGTTGCAAATGACCGCAGATGATGTGAATACTTTACGAGTAAGAAAGTCTCACAACACACTTCAACCATGGTTTACTTACTTGTTGAAGTCACGCAAGAAATTAGTACAAGAAGTAGCGATAAGAGACCTTAAAGAGGCATATAATGAAGCACTTTCGATCAAAAAGGAAAAAAAGGCAAACCTGATGGATATGTGTGACTATATCCCCTTAAAATATGTTAGTTTTTACGAAAACCTGAAAGTTGTTTAAAACCATCAAAATGTTATCCATTTGTATTATGTTTCTTGTAGCACCAACTATGATGGTTCACTGTATTACAATAAAAAAAAAAATTGTCCCATTAAGCGTAAAACAAGGTCGTAAACGACTCGTTTCCGTGTAAAAAC